AAATTTAATTAAAAAAATGTAACCCAATGACTGGGTTTGTCCATATTTTACCCAAATTTGGGTTAAAACAACCCAGCATTTTTTAGAGTGTATATATATATATATATATATATATAATTGCATATCAAATTTTAAGGGTTAGTTCACCCAAAAATGAAATTTCTGTCATTAATTACTCACCCTCATGTCGTTCCAAACCCGTAAGACCGTTAATCTTCGGAACACGAAGATATTTTTGACGAAATCTGAGAGCTTTCATGTGACTACAGTGGTTCAACCTTAATTTTATATAGCGTCGAGAATACTTTGTGTGCGCAAAAAAAAGGACTTTATTCAACAATTTCTTCATTTCCGTGTCTGTCTCTGATGCTGTTCACGTTGTTAACACAGTGCAGCGCTTCCGGGTTCTACGTCAGAACGCCGGCTCAGTATTGGCTGGATCCTGCCTCAGCATCAGCATCACACGCATGTGTCATGGTCCTCACGTGAACAGCGAAATTGTTGAAGTCGTTATTTAGTTTTTTTTTGTGCACACAAATTACTATTTTAACTTTGCTGTGTATGACGGGGTCAGAAATCTCTCGGATTCCATAACAAATATCTTCATTTGTGTTCTAAAGATGAACAAAGGTCTTACGGGTTGAGAACGATGTACATGAGGGTGAGTAATTAATGACCGAAATTTAATTTTCAGGTGAACTATGCCTTTAATGTGATGCATATTGTCAGTCATAAATACCTGAAACAAGTAAGAAAGAGGCAAGATTTCTGCACTCAAAAAAAATAAATAACACGTTATCAATTTATTTATTATTATTTTTATTAACTATTTGCATTTATTTTATTTTATTTAAAAAAATTGCTTAGAATCAAGATCAATCCTTTCAGTTAAATTCATTCATTCAGTATAAATATGGTTAGAAAATGGCTAGATGTGGTACAAGGAATATTCGATTAGTTAAAGGGGTCATGAACTGAGAATTAAAATTTTCCTTGATCTTTTGACAGTTAAGAGGCCGTTATACTATAAAAATATCAAGTAAGTTTCAAAACAAAAAACTTCCTCTATATTCCAAAAACAGCTTTTATAGAAACGCAATTTCGACGCAGGCTTTGAAAACAGACTATTACGATAAGGATCTGCCAGCAACGCCACAAACGTAATTAGTGATGATTTCTGATGTGTAATTATTCAAGGATGAAAATGATCTTATGTAAACTGTGATTAAATTATATACAGAAAGCGATCAAAGAACGCTTCCTTTCCAATTACCCAAGCTGTCAATCACACAGCGTGAGTTTATCTGGACACTTGCCAAAACTCATTATGAAATCAATGATGTTGTTACACTGCACAACGAGGCTCTTACTGTATTTACATCGTGTTTGCATTGTTATTTGATGAAAGCATTCGTGAGAGTGCAGAAATGTTGCGATGATGAGAACACTTCATTCACGCGATCAACAGGCTGTCTTTCATCTGCTCAATGCTCATCACTGCAACCTTTCATGTGTTGGGAATAGATCTAAATATAATGCTTTAATCTTTTATTATAATCTATAATTATTTTTCACGATTCGTTAATCTCGATAGCTGTAATAGTAAAACCGTAGTAAAAGAGTTCCACATGTAATACTAGCTATTTCATATGCAAACATGTCAGCCAATCACAGCAGTGGGCGTTTACACTGAAGTCTCACAGCAGACACGGCCCTTCAAACAGAGCGTTCAAACCAGATGCTAAAATCAGGCTAGGAATAATGCCTTTTATTTCTAAATGATGACAATTTTTTAAATCTAAAATCAGGCTAGGAAAAAGGCCTTTTATTTCTAAATGATGACCATTTTTGATGTAAAAATCATACTGACATTATAAGGGCACGCCAGGAAACATTATAAAATAATCCAGTTCATGACCCCTTTAAAATGTATGAGAATTAAACAAAGTGGAAACACTATTCTAATCATTTCTTTTGCTCTGTAGATAAATCTGTATTGTGTGAGGAGAACCCTTTTGGTCTGTCACATGGTGGTGACGGCTCAGTCAAGGACAGCAGTGAAGATGTGTTCCACAGTGATCTGGTTGGCAGAGTAAAGGAGAACATTCTACCAGACTATACTTCTTACATGACCAGTCTCGTCTTCTCAGCACACGCCAGTCCTGTTCAAAGCCCCTGCCAAAGCAGCACCCAGGGCAGTCCTACTGACAAAGAGCAGGTGAGCTTCAAACAAACATGCTTTGTGTCATAGAATGCTTTGTGTCAGTGAGCGAGCTTTGTCATCCCGGTAAACGAGCAAACTGTGAATAATCTTTGTCACGTGACATGTACAAAAGGCTCATGATATACAGATGTTGCCAAAGCATGTCAAAGTAAATCTTCTACATGGCAGGTATGTCAAAGCACATTTATCTAGGTCTAAAACATGCTGGCTTTACATGATGGTGAATTGCTAGTATAAAGATTAGCCATTAATTATTAAACAAAGCTTCATTCCTGTGGGTGTGGGAAGTGTGTCAGATGCTTAGAGGCAGTTGCTAAAAACACCCCCCAAAAAACATGTTTCCTTTTAAATGCAGGAAATACTATTACAAAGGTTTTTAAATTGTTTACTGGATTTAAACCTCTATTTTACTGAAACCTAAACCTGTATATGTGTCACAGATATCCAAGGAAGACGAAGAAGATGACAAATAACAAGGTTTATTTACATAGCTCAGAACTGTTTAGTGAGACAGCATGCAAACATCACACACGAACAATACCGGACGATGAACTGAAACACAGGCAGGACTTAAATACACAGAGATGTTTAACTAAAGGATGAATAGAGTGATGAATGTAGTTAGTGTCCATGGTGACTGACGAGTGGCGGGAAACTAGAACAAAGGAACACTGACAATATGAACATTTGCCCCCAAAAATGCAAATATTTCACATATTCTCCAATGATTCATCATAGGCTATCATTCAAAAGTTTGGAGTCAGTATAATTTTTTTAATGTTTTGGAAAGAAGTCTTTTATGCTCAACAAGGCATTTATTTGACCAAAAATACAGTAAAAATAATATGAGCTGTACTGTTTGAGTTTTCATGTAACTAAGTGTAAATAGTTAGATGCTATTTATACTTAGCAGATACTATTTGCACCTCAATGTATTGTAGTATATTTTAAAACAGTTTGCAATACTAACAACATATTCAGTGTATATGGTTATATTTATTAAAGTCATAAATGGATGCTGACTTATTGGGACAAAGGTTTAATTCACCCAAAAATGAAAATTCTGTCTTCATTTGCTCACCCTCGTGTCCTTCCAAACCTGTAAGACTTTCGTTCAACTTTTTATGAAATCTGAGAGCTTTCTGTCCCTCCATGACCACTTTCAAGCCCCAGAAAGGTAATAAAGACATCATTAATGTAATCCATGTGACTCGTTTAACCTCAATTTTATGAAGAGACGCGAGTGATTTGTTTGCGCAAAAACCATAATTTACCACTTTATTTACAAAATATTAATCTCTAACGCACATTCATGCAACAACTTCTGTTCTCTCATCAACACACCACGCATGCGTCTTGGTGCTCTCATGAACGCTCGTTGGAGATTAATATTTTGTAAATAATGTGGCAAATTATGTTGTTTTGTGCAAAGCACTTCATAAAATCGAGGTCAAACCACTGGAGTCTGCGTAGGCTAACAATGGAGGGATAGAAAGCTCTCAGATTTCACTCAAAAGATCTTCATCTGCTTGGGATTTTGGAATTGGATTGATAATAATAATAATAAAATGTTTATATTTTAATTTTAAAATGCAAATCTTTCACATATTTTCCAAATGATTCAACATATCTCTAGATATGACAGTTTACTCCTAAAGTGGAGCAAGTTGTGCCACTGGACCACTTTTTTTCAGAAGCAATATTTTTTGGCACAGTGTTTTGTTTTCAGTTGAGAGCAAATATCTTGAAATATATGAAGAACAATTATTTTTACCTCTATTCATTTCTCCTTGCTTAGAGAACAATATAAGTAAAAAAGGTGGCAGCTTACCCCACATTGTAGAAAATTACAATGTTCTTCCATCACCCTCTTAGGAGCAGACCTTTTGTTGCAGTGAGGATGAAACAAAGCCTGTCTGGTTGAACGCAATAATTGGTCGAATCTTTTGGGACTTCCTCCATGAAAAGTACTGGGCTGATAAAGTCCAACAGAAAATACAGCGAAAGCTGAGCAGAATTCGGGTAAGGGAACAGATAGGAATTATGTCATGTTCTTTAACTGGATAAAGTGTGAGGATGTGTTTTTTTTTTTTTAATCTTCCTCAAGTGAAATAAATAGATTATGATAATAATAGTCCTACCCTGTGTGCACACGTTACTGAGTTTACCCTCTTTTACCACAGTTGCCTTACTTCATGGATGAACTGACCCTCACCGAACTGGCCATGGGCTCCAGTATGCCCCAGATAACAAGTACTTCACTACCACAGGTCAACAGCAGAGGTGAGTGGGGCTCCTAAGAGCCTCTTATAAAAGAGCATGTTAGGTCATTCATCCATCACGACTGCTTGGGCGTATGTGTTATGTTCCTGCACTGAGCAGTAGATGAGATGTTATTATCCTTCTGTAATCTCAGGGATCAAAGGAGCGCATAACATCACGTCACTCTCCTCAGCGAATAGCAGCTCGTGTGTGAGCGCGTGTACACGTGTCTGTTTACTCGCTCAGCTGCATGGTGAAATGCTCAATGTGAAGCATATGCGGGATGTATTATCCCCACGAGAAGTGAAGCTGTTATTGTGTAGGTCACAGTGTGTGTCTGTCTTTTACTCTCCGCATCATGATCTGTGAGCATTATGTAACATGTAATGGCTTTCAACTGTCTGGCTCCCTCGCTCAGGTCTCATCCCATTTATGGATTTATAATGTGTGCTAGTAGACTTGTGGGCATTTTACTGTGCTATAATTGTATGGACTTTCATCCATGAACAGATCGTATTGGTTTAATCTTGACCATATAGGTTAGTAGCACAGGCTTTTAGAGTCTTTGATTTCAGCACCTTGCAACATTATTAGTCAATAATAAAATTAATATATGTGAGCTGAGCTGATATAACATTTTAATTGTTACTTTTTTATTACTTTTTATTTCATTTATAAGAAGAAATCTCACATTTTCTGAATAAGCATTTCTTTAATTCTATCCCTGCCATTGACTAGTTATCTCTTCTTTTATGAGAAAGCGCTTCCCTCAGTTCCCTGCCAAAGACGAGTTTTTACGGCTTTCCGTGTTTTCACTTTTATAGGGTGTGCTATTATGCATCTTATGAAAGAGTACTGAATATCAAAACACAGGTGAAGAAGATGCAGAAACTTGCGATATCATATGTAATCATATCATCAACACCGCGATCATCAACATTAAATAGCATATAAATCAAAACTGCTCAAAAATGTTACTGAATGAAATGTCGACCGAGGACGAGGAATAGGACTGTGCCAGCATTAGGGGTGTTGATGGACTCCATCTATGTTTTGATAATCATTCTGAATCTGATCCAGATGGATCTCTGATGGCATGATGCAGGACTAGCCTACAGCGAATACTGAACCAGACTATTTAGTTGTTGAGCAAGTAATCTCATTGGTTGCAGAAACAGCAAAGGCCAATCAGCTTGTGCTATGTGGTAAAGAGTTTCATGACTGAACTAGATATTTATTGCTGAATGTAAAAGTTTTTGTAACAACAGGTAACTTTTGCTATTATTAAAAGAAAAATATCTTTGTGTCAGGTCTATGGTTTCATGTGGAGGTGGAGTACACAGGAGCATTACAGATGACTCTAGAGACTAAAATCAACCTCTCCAAACTTGGGAAGGAGGGAGTCCTTGAGGCAGAGACAGAATTGGAGACAATCAATGTGTTGTAAGTTTTTGGAGAATAAAATAACCTTTCTGAATTTAGACAAAAATGTATTATCTCAAAACTGCATGGCATATATAAAGTCTACTATATAACCTGCAGAAAAAGAATACTTAAATTGAACAAAAGTGGCAGTAAACACTGTTAGATTACGACAAATATTTTTTATTTCAAATAAATGTTGTTCTTTTGAACTTTCTATTCATTAAAAATTACATATATCTTGGTTTCCACAAAAATATTAAGCAGCACAACCGTTTTCAGCATTGATAATAAGCCATGTTTCTTGAGCACCAAATCAGCATATTAGAATGGTTTCTGAAGGATATCTGATGTAAGATCATGTGACACTGAAGAGTTATGGTTGCTGAAAGTTCAAGATATGCAACACAGGAATAAACCACATTTTAAAATATATTTAAATATAAAACAGTTCATTTAAATTGTAATAATATTTCACAATATTACTGTTTTTACTGTATTTTTATCAAGTAAATGCAGCCTTGGTGAACATAAGAGACAACAACCATTATGACTCAGCACAATCCTAGTGTCATTTGTGGGTTTATGTTTATATCTGGTTATGACGAGGTCCTGTCTGGATGTGTTGTGCAGTAGCAGGTCCAGGCTCTCTGTGCTGGCTGACAGTGATGAGGAATCCTCAAGTGCAGGATCCTCGGATGAGGAGGACGTTTCATCCGCGGACACTCAAGGAACCCTGACAGAAAAGCCTCTAGCTGGTGTTGAGGGGTAATTATTATTTACTGAACATTTCACATAATTCTCTGAGATCTCAGAGTTTGGGATGTTGCAACTATTTGGATTATTTGGATGGGATGTATTTCAGAAATGCTGTCTTTGTAAATTAAACATCAAGATGTAGTCAAGTGGCTTGCTGACATTATAGGGATAGTTCACCCGAAAATTACATTTTCTTTTCTCATGTTGTTTCTAAACCGTTCTTTCTTCAATTGAACATGCAATATATTGAGATATTTCAGAGAATGTAAACCCTGCTTTTTGTCCAAACAGTGAAAGTGGATGGGGACTAGAGACAACCATGGTCACCATTCACTTTCAATGTATGGAAAAGAGCAGCTTGGACATCTTGCTAAATGTCCCCTTTTGCTTTCCAGCCAAGAGGGTTTGGAGCGACATGATTTTTTGGTGAATTATGCCTATAAAACAGAATCTCTGTCTTGTTTGAGTTCTTTGTCAAAAATGCTTCTTAAAATAAATCAAGGCCATCTGATGAAAAATTCACTTTGCCTCCCGCAGGGCTGCAGCTGGAGGCAGCACTAGTAGGCGGATTTTGAAATTTGTCGACAAGATTGCCAAGTCGAAGTACTTCCAGAAGGCCAAAGAAAATGAGTACATAAAGAAGAAGATAGAAGAAATGTCCAACACCCCTCTGCTGCTTGCGGTGGAAGTTAAAGAGCTCTCTGGAACCCTGGCCGTCAACATTCCTCCTCCCCCCACAGACAGAATATGGTACGAGCCATTCTCACGCAACTGAACACGCTGTTAATGTTGCATTGGGGATTGAAGCTTTGCTTAAGCTTACACAATGTTTACAGAGATTATCGAAAGCAATCACGCTCCTTAATGATTGGTGTCATTCACTCTTTAACTTTGTTGTAATTAAATTTCAATTTGATAATTAAGGATTAGAGACAAGTCTGTTAACTGGGCATGATGTGATGAATTCAGTGATGGAAAGAGGAGGAGCAGGATTGTGGACCAATGCAATTTCACTGTGGGTGACCCTTGTAAAAAAGAAGTACACTTTAGCATATTTTTGCTTTAAAAAATAGTATGGAATTAATATACTTTGAAAGAATATACTTAAGTCCGAACTGAATGTTATGTTTCCAGGATTTATTGCATATTAATTTCAATTAAATGAAAGTATAGTTTAAATTTATATTATTATTTATTTATTTATTTATTTATTATTTATATTATATTATTTATGTTTTACATCTTTATATGTAGTTTCATAATTACTTTTATTGTCTTTGAAATATGGTTAAATTATATTGCTGGATGTACTGACAGGCATACTGTATATGGTAACTAAAATATGTCATTTCTATTGAAACTTGTGTCATCTATTTAGTAGAATAGTCTATTTATAATTACACATTTTGCAATTATGAAGTAGCAGTTTAGTACAATTAAAATATACTAAATTAATGTAATGTTGAACAACACACTACAGATAATCAAATACTTAACTTGTGCTTTACTATGTTAGTCAACACATCAAAATAAAGCATGACAAAAGAGTATTAAAACGTAATGTTTTGAAGGGGTCCTATTATGCTTTTTCACTTTTTCAACTTTAGTTAGTGTGTAATGTTGCAGTTTGAGCATAAAAAAGATCCGCAAGGTTACAAAACTCAAAGTCCACTCCAAAGGGAGATGTTTTATTTAACAGAATCCACTGTTCAAGAACTACAACGAACGGCGCGTTTGTTCTACACCGAGTTTTTCTGGATCTTGTGAAGTCACAATGTTACTCATTTAAATAATCCACACCCATGGAATACGCAAAAACAAGGAGCAAGGCCTGGTTGAGCTGCTGCTATGTCAAAGAGACACTGTTTTGTCCACCCCGTTTCCAAAACTCATTTGTTTGACCTTCCTAAGGCTGGCAAACTTAGAGTGGGTAAAGTTTATTTTAAACACTGTTCCTGAACATTATAATCCCAACTTGTATCTGTACAATGCCGGCCACGCACAAAAGCTTCTCCTGAAAAGGAGCAGTTACCACTTTGTCGGGACATTCTGTTATTTGTGCATCACAACCTGTAAGTATGTCTTATTATTTAGTTGCGTTTTTTTACAGTATTAACAGTTCCAATTATAAGTTTTATGTTGTTGCTTCAATGTAAACAAAAGGGCAAAGCTGTTTGCCTCCGCTTGTCTGCTAGCCAAAAGTAGTGTTGATATAGTGTTTACTGTAGTTTTTGTAAGCTCTTGCTTTTTGTAAGGTTGTTCATCGCTCCTTAGGAAAATTAACCCTGGTTTTGTAATCGATAACTGTTTGTATTACCATAGTTTTCCGACAAGTATCATGATTAAATGGTGTATAACTTTGTGTCTAAAATGTAGAAAAAAAAACATACCACTCTGAAACATCCTGTGAAATCCGTGCTTGAAATCGTCTCTGGTTACCCACGTAACCGTAGTTCCCTGAGAGGAGGGAACGAGACATTACGTATGGGGAAATCCATTTCTCCTCGAATTATGAAGTCTGATTTGAATAACTCTTTTGCTTGCAAATAGCCAATGGCGATCCCGCCATCACCTGATTGGCTGACACTCCTCAATATAGGTGACGGCGGGCGCCAAAAACCTCAGAATCTTAGCTGAACGAGAGTAAAGAGACTGTAAGTCTTTCCCACACGGCAGGTTACGTAATGTCTCGTTCCCTCCTCTCAGGGAACTACGGTTACGTGAGTAACCAGAGACGTTCCCTTATCGAGTCGGTCTCTCGACATTACGTATGGGGAACAATAAAACCCCCGCCGCATGGGAAAAGTCTGCCAGCTCACAACGAGCTCAAGTAGCACAGCACTAGTCCTTACCTCACACAGCTCGGGATCAGGCACCGGACCTGGTTGAAACACCTATTGGCACAGAGCCAAGTCGGCACCCGCATCAACGTAGCCCCTCCCACATAGTTAAGCAACGCTGAACTGAAGTGAATGGGGATTGCAGCAATGTGATTGGTGCTTAGAAATACACTGCCGGCTTATGAATGCGGGCATAAAAAAGAGACAAAATATAGCGAGCATGATAGCTATTGCTAATAACTTGCACTGTCTGCAAGACTTGGTCGAAACCGCAGCTAGAGCGCGCGCCAGCCGGGGCGTGTCTGCAGTCTAGTCCAATGACAGCTCAGCTCCCTCTCCCTGCACTGACAGTACATGTGGTGCGAATGAAGGAATATTCAAGTTATAGAATCTCGCAAACGTATTACGAGACGACCAGCCTGCCGCAAAACAAATGTCCTGAATAGACATGCCTTTCGCCCATGCCCATGATGACGCCAAACTCCTAGTGGAGTGGGCGTGCACCCCTATAGGGCAAACGGCTCCCCGAGAAGCATAAGCCAGTCGCACAGCCTCCACTATCCAGTGTGATAGCCTCTGTTTCGACAGCGCGCCGCCTTTCTTGGCACCCGCGTAGCAGACGAAGAGCTGCTCTGAAGTTCGAAAATGGCTAGTTCTGTTCACATAAGCGCAGGGCACGCACGGGGCACAAAGCGTGCTTCTGAGACCCTGGGACACTGTCCTCATCGGGGCAAAATGCTGGAATTGTAACCACCTGGGCTCTGAACGGCGTTGAGAGCACTTTAGGCGAATATCCGCGCTTAGGTAAAAGTCTGACCATGCAATCGTCCGGTCCAAACTGCATACATGCACTGTTTACTGACAGGGCATGCAAGTCCCCCACCCGTTTCCCGCAGGCTAGCGCGAGCAGAAACGCCGTCTTGAACGAGAGTACTTTAATGTCGCTAGACTCAGCTGGTTCAAAAGGTGGGTCAGACAGCGCACTAAGCACTAACGACAGGTCGCAGACCGGCATCTGACGAAGGCGGGGGGGAAAAAGCCGCCTCGCTCCCCGGAGGAAACTCGTTATCAAAGGGTGTTTCCCCACTGAATGGCCATCCAACACATCACAAAAAGCAGCAATAGCGGCTACGTAAACTTTCAGTGTAGATGGCGAACTGCCAACATCCAGACGTTCCTGTAGGAAGGTCAAAATAATGGAAATATCGCAATTCCTGGGGTCCTCCTTTTTGTCAACACACCAGTTAGCGAACACTTTCCACTTCAGAGCGTATAAGCGCCTCGTCGAAGGGGCTCTAGCCTCTGCTATTGTCTGCAGCACTCTCTGTGATACTCCGAGCTGATCTGCCACACATGCAGGTCCCACAGCTCCGGGATGGGGTGCCATATCGTGCCCTTCGCCTGAGATAGGAGGTCTCTTCTCGGCGGTATCCGCCACGGGGGAAAACGCGCCATGTTCACTAGCTCCGGGAACCACGGCTGGTTGGGCCATTTGGGCACTACCAGAACCAACGCACATCTCTCCTCCCTGATCTTTTGCAGCACCAGCGGCATTAGCTTGATCTGAGGAAAAGCATACTTCCGACCCTTCGGCCAGCGGCTCGATGATGCAAAGAGGTCGATCTCCGCTTTGCCAAACAGATTCCAGATCATGTTTACCGTCTGCGGATGAAGCCTCCACTCCCCGTGCACAATGCCATCCCTGGACAGCATGTCCGCGCCGTAATTCAAACTGCCCGGCACATGCACTGCTCGAATCGACTGTAGTACTCTGTCTGTCCATAATAACAGCCGCCTCGCTAGCCCCTGAAGGGATCGCGAACGTAAACCTCCCTGTCGATTTATGTACGCCACCACCGCTGTGTTGTCCGTTCTGATGAGAACATGACGGTCTTTCACAAACGGGAGGAAAACCTGCAGCGCTAGACGAACCGCTTCCATCTCCAAGCAGTTTATATGCCAGCGCGTCTGGTCTCCTGTCCACGTACCGAATGCCGGTCTGCCATCGCAGAGGGCTCCCCAGCCTGACAGTGACGCATCCGTAGTGACCACTATGCGTCTGACCACTCTGCCCAAAGCAGCCCCCTGCTCGAACATGGTCGTGTCGAACCAAGGCGCTAGAGTCTCCAGACACGAACGCGTTATAATAAGGCGTTCCGTTCCCGCTTCCCACGCCCGCGACTGTACTCGTCTCTGTAACCAGTGCTGAAGCGGTCTCATGTGCAACAAGCCCAGTCTGCAGACGGAGGCTGCAGCTGCCATCAGACCGAGTAGCCTCTGAAACGTTTTCAAGGGGATGGCTCTGCCTTGAATGAATAGGGCTAATGTACCCTGAATTGACTGGATTCTCGACTCTGACAGCTTTGCGATCATAGCGCGTGAGTCCAGCACCATACCGAGGAAAGTGATGGACTGGCACGGTTGAAGCGCGCTCTTCCGCATGTTCACAGACAGCCCCAGACCTGTCAGGTGGGCGAGGAGTCTGTGTTTGTGTTCCTCGAGGACACTCTCCGACCGCGCGATGACCAACCAGTCGTCGAGATAGTTCAGAATGCGCATTCCACTGAGCTTCAGGGGAGCAAGCGCTGCATTCATGCACATTGTAAAAACACGGGGGGCCAGCCCGAACGGCAACACTTTGAACTGGTATGCCACACCTTCGAATGCAAACCGAAGGAAGCGCCTGTGATGCGGGGCTATCTGAATGTGGAAGTATGCATCCTTTAGATCCATTGCAATGAAGTAATCGTCGGGCTGAATGTGCGCGAGGATCTGCTTCACTGTTATCATTTTGAACGTGCGTTTCGCGAAAATAACTAGAAAATAACGGCTGTAGAAACCGGAATTTTTTCGCTCTTCAGGTACTGTCTCTACTGCTTGTTTGGCCAGGAGAGAGGAGATTTCTGCCCGAAGCAACGGAGCGCTCTGTTCTGACACCTCTGTCATAATCACGCCGCCGAAGATGGGTGGTCTGCGAGCGAATTGGAGCGTATAGCCGCGTTTTATCGTGTTTAAAACCCAATGTGATGCCGTCGGTAGCGTTGACCACGCACTCAGGTGACTCGATAAAGGGGGCTTTAATGAATGCTGCGGCGGGGGCTGAGCGCCAGCCACCGGGGAAGCATTGACCGCTACATGAGGTGACTCGTCCGCGGTCTTTCGCACGGGGACATAAATAGCCACCTTCTCGGGTTTCCCCGAGCTTCCGCTCTGCGAAACGTCTCCCGGGGGAGAGGTCTCGCCTATGACGTGGGTAATAGTGTAGGGAGGAAGAAAGCTCTTTTGCTGAGACATGTAATGCACTTTGTTTATTGAAACGGAACACAGCGGTTTCAAAATCAAAACATTCACGTCGAACTCTGGGCGGGAGCACGCCCTTTTCGCAGCAGGTCCGACGAACACGTCCCGCGCTCTCTCCTCCCCGACACGCACATCAGGAACGCTGCTCCTTTTTGCCCGCCGGGCGCCCTTGGCTGCTAGAGGCCGGTTTCGCACCAAAGCGGGGCTTCCTGAACTGCCTCTGGCGGAAGGGAGGCTCTGGCTCGCGGCGCTCCGCCGCGCTCGGAGACGCGCGTCTGGTAGGTCCCGCCGGGCGCTGCGCAGAAGAAGATCTGGATCTCGCTGCAGGGGGGGCTTGAGACCGTTTCGGCAGTAGATGAGGCATCATCCTGGATTGCTTGACGGTCTCGGCGTACTTGTCGGATAACGACTCCACCGCGACACCGAAAAGGCCCGTAGGGCTTACTGGTGCGTCCAGGAACTGCTTTTTATCTGCATCGCGCATCCCCGACAGCGTCAGCCACAGATGGCGATGTAGGGCCACAAGACTGCCCATATTTCGGCCGATTCCCTGGGCGACCTTTTTTGACGCCGCCAAAGTGAGATCTGCCGCCGTGCGCAGTTTCCTGAGCAACTCGGGGTCCGGGATTCCCTCATCCAGGGACCCTAGGAGTCGCGTCTGGAAAACCTGCAGAATTGCCATCGTGTGGAGGGCAGATGCTGCATGTCCAGCTGAAGTGTAGGCTTTCTCAGCCATGTGGGCAGTAGCGCGACATGGCCTAGAAGGCAGTTGGGCGGTCTTCCAGCCGGGAGAAGACGCTAGATGAGCCGCGATGGTATCCTCGACGGGAGGCAATCGCGCGTACCCCAATTTCTCTGCCCCTTCCACTGAAGTCAGCAGCTGGGTACCTTGTGCATGGGCTCAGGCTGAGTAAGGGGAGCGCCATGATCTGGTGAGCTCCTCGTGGACCTCCAAGAAAAAGGGGGCGGGTCTCCGCGGGGCTTCAGCCTGACGGCCCGCGCCGAGGAAGGAACCATCCATCTCTTAGACGGCAGCTCCTTGGGCGCTGTCCACTCCAGCTCCATATCCGCCACAGCCTCAGTGAGGATGGCCATAAGCTCCGCATCCAAAGAGGCGGGGGCGCCTTCAGACGGGGACTCGGACCACGCTCCTGGGTCGGAGGCACTGGTAGACATGGCGTCGTCATCGTCATATCCAAATGAGACTATTTCCCGCGCTTCCTTAGGAGGGCGGTAACAGGCCTCAGAGTAAGTTAGGGGCTCTGCCGCTTGAGGATGGCGTGGGTGTTGGGCCGACGTCAGAGCCTCGACAGAATCCACGGATGGAGTTCTCTGCCGTCTCCCGGTCCGCAGCTCGACGGCGGCAGACTGGGGAGAGGCAGGAGACACAAGGCCGTCGTTACGTGTAACGGCCAGCCTTGCACGAAGGATCTTGATGGGAAGCTCCTCACAGGCACGACATCCCGATCCCTCGAGTGCCGCCTCCGCGTGGGCCCGGCCCAGGCACAGCACACAGTTCTCATGTGCGTCCGGGAAATCGATGGGTCCACCACACATGCGGCAAAGAGACATATTAATATAATCCACCGGAACGCGAGAGGGGAAACTCCTTACTATATTCCGCTCTGAATGCGTACATCAACGGTGAAACAGACTCGAGTGAAGAAAAAAGATTCTGAGGTTTTTGGCTTCCGCCGTCACCTATATTGAGGAGTGGCAGCCAATCAGGTGATGGCGGGATCGCCATTGGCTATTTGCAAGCAAAAGAGTTATTCAAATCAGACTTCATAATTCGAGGAGAAATGGATTTCCCCATACGTAATGTCGAGAGACCGACTCGATAAGGGAACTGTTCTGGATGATCCTCTTGTTTGTTAAGATTCTTAAGTCTGAATCAGGCTTGAATTGGTTTGAAATTGACGCCATCCTTAATATTTACACCTGAGCAGATGAAACTTGTGGTTATGGTAAGGAGCGTGACATATGACATATGGTAAGGAGCGTGACAAGTAAAACTTTTAATTTGACATTATTACAATGTGACTTAATTATGTTAAGTTTTTTATGGAATATTGAAGTGATTTTTGTGCATTCAGGTTTGCAGACATGTCTTTGGATATATGCAGCAGAATAATAAGTGTTTTGTTGTTTCTCTTTAGGTATGGTTTTTGCGGACCCCCGAAACTTGACCTAAGAGTCAGACCCAAACTGGGAGAGCGAGAAGTGACTTTCTGTCATGTGACTGAATGGATTGAAAAGAAGCTACAAGATGAGTTTCAGGTTTGTTTTGATGAGATTGTGATAGCCTCTCTAGAAACTTACCAAACATGTTAAGTATATGACAGCTTTTAATTTGAATAAATTTTATGAATTATTTCAGTTAAATGATGTACTTTAAAATATTTGAATTAACCTCCATAACAAATCTTGTCCGATTTCCTAATAATTATTTCAGGAAGTTTTTGTTTTGCCCAACATGGATGACATTTACCTGCCGCTAATGCACTCTGGGATGGACAACCCGACAGCTTCCCAACAACACCCTGCAAAGCTGTCCCAGCATTCCTCTGTGGCCTCCACTGACAGGTGTGATCTGGAACATTCTGCAGAACTACAGTAGTGCCTCCTTGTGGACAGACATGTCAATACACCGGTATCAGGAACCCGCTCCTTTAACTTCAAAAAACTATTTGGAGTGTAACTTGTAATCAGCTTCATTTAAACATCCCACACATGTTCTCTCTTAATTTATTATCTCCCATTATCATACACTCCCATTTCTTTGAAACCCAAAACAGTTATTCCTTAATGTGTGTTTAACCATTTTATTACTTTATTGTGTTTATGTCCTAAGGACAACTGATTATTTGTTGAACATCCACAATAGCTTAAATTAGACATATAAGCATTAGTAATAAGTAAATAATAAAGAATTTATTAAATAATTCATTTTTAGAAATAAATACAACTCGTTTTGAAAAAAGTCTTACATACATGTTCCACAAGTGTTTGCTTTTTACATTATGAATTAATATATAGTATCAAAGACAGTTTTTGTACGATTTCACATTTTCTTGTCAAGTGTCACTTCAAGATTGTAATATCTGTAATCTGTAATAACTTAAGCAGGCATTTGAATGTTACAGTAATTGTTTTTTCTTTTTTATATTTGTGCATTAGAATCAATGTCTCACTTTATTAACCTCTCAAAGCTCTAGGAGTAATGTGCTAAAAAAAATTATTTTTCTGTTTATCGTGCTTTTCTCTATATACAAACAATAAATCTGTAAAATTGGTTGGTTGTGCAGCCCTTAAAGGGATTCTGTCATCATTTACTCAACCTCATGTTTTTAAACCAGTATGACTTTCTTTACTCTGCAATCTGCAGAACACAAAATAAATTTTTATTTTTTTTATTTTTTTCAGTGTTGGACTTTCTTGTATGGACAGTTGAAACATTCTTCAAAATATCTTCTGTTATGTTTCACAGGAGAAAGAAAGTCATACAAGTTTGGAATGACATGAAGGCGGGTAAACATTTTTGGGTGAACTATCCCAGATGATTACAAAAAGGGAAAAATACATTTAATGAAACTCGCACATAAAAAACTAACTCGAATGCTTTCTTTGAATCCTGAAGGACATTTCCGTCATGTATAGCCTATCTGACTCTTGAACTGTTAGTGTGATGGCGTCTGCTGGTGCTGCTCGGACTGGCGGCACTAGTGTCTGTCCAAGTGCTGGTTCCCTCCCCTGCTTCAATTTCCAGATCGTCGACCTCCAGGCTCTCACACATCAGATTGATCTGCCTTCTTATTTGTGCCATCCGGCTCTGCATGCGCTGCATCTTCCTGCGTAGGTTGGCAGCAATGGCCCTCTGCTTCCTCCGCTCGGATACGTAGCGCTGCTGTAGCTCTCGGTAGCAGTTATGTCGGGCCTGGTTCTCTCGGACGAGAAGCGTCCCGCAGCCCATGGGACACAGCTGTCGCCAGTGGGTACAGCTCTGGTCATGTGCCTGCGCATCTTTCCTCAGCACCTGCTGCCCACAGCCTTCATGAGGACAGAGCTGCCACTCATACGGACAGTTGGAGATGTGGAGGTACTCGTTCGAGAGCGGGAAAGTGGTTCTGCAGCCCTGCTGTGCATTTCGACACTAGGAACACAGACACATGGTGTTGTTCCACATTCACAGTTTAAGCACGAGACACAACTATATATTAGACTTGAGCTTTAAAAATGTTGCCTACCTTGATTGGTAAACGGCCAATGGATTTACTCAGCTTAAACAAAACCAGCATTTGGTTCTGGTCAATAGGCTGCCTGCAGCAAGGGCATTTCACCTGTCTGAAACAACAACATTTGCTCAAACATCCAAAGCAGAAGTACTGTACTCTACTTTTCAAAAGTTTGGGGTCAGTAAGATTTTTTTTCTTTCAGCAGGGACACATTAAAAAAGTGTCACTAGAGATTTGTCTTTTTGTCACAAAAATCAAATAAATGCTGGTATTTTGAACCCACTGTTCATCAAAGAATCCTAAAAAAAATCCATGTCTGCACAGAATGCACGCAAAAATAATAAGCATGAGATGTAAAAATATTACATCTTATTATAAAATAATAAACACACAACAATTATAAAATAAAATAATATTCTATAAAAATTTAAATATTAATATATAATATTAAGCATACGATTATTATACAATGAGATTATATAAAATATTAAGCATAAGATATTTTATCAATGTTTATCTTGAGCAGCAAATCAGCAAATGATATCTGAAGGATCATGTGACACTGAAGACTGGAGTAGTGATGCTGAAAATTCAGCTTTGATCACAGGAATAAATTACATTTTAAAATATATGAATACACTTGTTTTAAAATGTAATAATGTTTCAAAACATTACTGTTTTTACTGCATTTTTGATCAAATAAATGCAGTCTCGGTGAGCATAAGAGACTTCTTTCGAAAACATAAAAAATTCTTACCGACCTCCAACTTGCGTTTACTGGATAGTGTTACAATCCATCCCATCTGGTTAGGCATGATATTTTTTAAACAGGCAGATGTAAAAAGCTTGTGTGTAATGTATTTCAAATTGAACAAGAGAACCTGCTAAATTCAGACAATACCAGTTATGCCAATTAAGTTATAAATCAAATTATAACCCAGAAAGGAAATGTTAATTTCCTACCTTGCTTTTCTTTTTTGTTATTTATTTTTATTTTGTTGTTCTGGAAATCCTTTTACAACTCTTCCCAGCCTCATCTAATCTGGTTTGTCTTATTATAAAATATTGAAAATGGTTACCTTTTCATCCACTGTAAAATGCATTCCTTGCAGAAGACATGGTTGCATTTGAGTCGTACAGGGCAGCGTAGAACGGCTCTACAGATGACACAAATCAGATCATCATCTGGGGTATCCACAAACTGCTCCACTTCATAACCTCCAGTCTAATACCAAAATAAAAACAATTCTCATATACAAACATTTCATTAATATATTGTAATGGCAAATGCGTGCTGACTGCTAGCAAGCAGCATTACTATTTTTTTCAATGATTAATATTACTAATATTAAATCAAACTATTTCAAACCACCATTTTATAGTAAAATTATTCATGTCATATATTATCAGACTTTTTAAACATAATGTTTAAAGCTTGTAATGTACATACAGTATTTTCCCCCCACAATTATCCAATTTTATCTTATATAAATAAAAAAAAATAAAAACTCACCATTTTCACTTGTGTTACGACTACAAGGACACGGCTAATACATATGCTGTATATGTTAAATAATCTGGAGAGGCAAAAAGACAGACAGATCTGTCATCACAACACAGAGCAAAACATCCCAAAGGAGATCACTTGACCCCGGATCATTCAGAAATGCATTGCAGGTATCCAATTTTCTCTTCTTTTCCATTCTAGCACAAGTGACAAATGTGGTTAGCACCTGACAACTTTTTTACACTATCCACTGGGACCTTATTTTGGTACCATCTAGGTTTTACTTGTTAGACAAAAGCATTGCTATGGAAACCGGTGAACTTCAATGGCTGCCTGCTCTAGAGGCTACAAGCCCTATTCTCTAAACACACAGGTCTGAATGGCCAATGAACACACAGCAGCATTTTTTACACAATAGAATATATCATAAATCATTTTACAGTATGTGGGAAAATGATGTCCCACACTTTAAAAATTAAACTAAGTCAACAACTGTAATTGGAAAAGTTTTAGCTAAAAGTTTAAAAGGTCTTTACAATAAAGAAAACACCAGATTGTACTGGCCACCATTCATATGTACAGGGGAGAATGGAGGTAAGATGTGTCAATGGGTAAGTTGTGTTAGGCTACTTTTGATTACATAATTGACCCTTGTTTTAATATTTTTCAGTGTTTTTTTTAAAAAGTGAGTTTTTAAAAAAATCTAGATGAAACTTACAATCAAAACAATAAAAAAAAAATCTAGAATGCAGGACAAACTAGAAGCGGAATAATCAATATAGAACAATAATAGTGAATGAATGTTGACGCAAGAACCAAACAGATCTTCTGCACAGACCTGCTATGACCAACTTAGTGATGATGAATCCGATCTTAAAGCAAAAGGAATTGGATGGAATATTTGAATGCTACCAATCCAAATTCTGATTTCTGACTTGTGATGCAGTCTGAATCATAATGACACCTTGTTCATTCGTTGGCCAGAGGAGAACTGGCAGTGTCATGTTTCTATGTGTTTAAAGGTGACCTATAATTCAAAATTGAATTTACCTTGGTATAGTCAAATAACAAGAGTTCAGTGCATGGACATGACATAGAGTGAATCTCAAACCGGACTGTTTTCGCGTTCTCATTTAATTCACGTTTATGAAAAACACCCCTGAAAAACGGTCGGTTCTCCACACAATACCGACTGTGACGCAATAGTCGGGATCATTAATATGTATGCCTCCAAATATTTGCATAATGCCAGCCCTCAATGCCAGGCGGAACTGCGCAGCCGAAGCATGGCAGTTGCTCAGTGTGGATGTACACATGAACACAAAAGTATTTTTTAGTTCCTTCATCTGAGCCTCTGAAGAAACAATGGGTTAATTTTATTTTCTCTGGAAATTTCCAAACATTTCACCGAGTGTTTCCTCAACTTGGGCCAATACAGAGCTGGCCTCGGATCGAGCTACCAAGCAACACTTTCTGATGTGTAATTGTTCAAGTTCAGACAGGTAATCTTTCTCTCAAAATCGTTCAATACTGTTTATGCATCAGTAAGTCAAGCCAGTGACTAAAATATCAGCTTCACATCGTTTCTTTTAGTAGGCCTAGGATGAAAAGAATCGTATTTAAATTGTGAACAAATTATATACAGAAAGCGATCAAAGAACAATCTTTCCACACAGCGCGAGTTTATCTGGACACTTCCCAAACTCGTTATGAAATCAATGACGCACGTTACTGCACAACGAAGCTCTTACTGTATTTACATCATCGTGTTTGCGTTGGTGAAAGCAGAGAGAGTGCAGAAACTGCTTTGCAATGATAAGATCTTCATTCTCGCGATCAACACACTGTCATCTGCTCAATGCTCATCACGGCAACATTTTATGTGATGGGAATAGATCTAAATACTTTAAAAACATCTCACGATTCATTAATCTCGATAGCTGTTATAGTAAAAACGTATAATAGCAGTAGTAAAAGTATTCGGGAGAGAGTTTCACATGTAATGCGTTGCTATTTCATATGCAAGCATGTCAGCCAATCACAGCAGTGGCCGCGGTTACACTGAATCCCACAGCAGACACGCCCCTTCAAACAGAGTGTTCAAATCAGAGGCTAAAAGCAGGCTAGGAAAAATGCCATTTATTTCTAAATTATGATTATTTTTGATCTAAAAAACATACTAACATTGTAAGGGTAACCCAGGAAACATTATAAAATAATAAAAAAAAACATTCTAGGGCACCGTTTTGTGATCTTGTTCACCCCCGTCTTTTGTGATTTTGGTTCAGTCCTGTTAGTTTTCCCACTCTGTCTAATTAGTTATTCCCTTCACCTGTGTTCAGTTAATCATCCTATTAGTCCCTGTTCATTTAAGCCCTGTGTTTTCCCTCAGTGTTTGTTGATCGTCGTCGATGTATGGTTGTGTGTTCCTGAGTTCCTGTGTTTTCCTGTAACCTGAGTTTGTGAATAAACCAGCTGCATTGAAATTCTGTTCCCTCGTCTTCAGTATCCTGCACCAACCCTGACAGGCAGCCTGATTGAGCCTGGTTTCTCTCAAGGTTTTTTCTCCATTTCTGTCACCTGATGGAGTTTGGGTTCCTTGCCACAATCGCCTCTGGCTTGCTTGGTTGGGGACACTTAAAATCAGTGTTGGGAAAAATTACTTTTAAAAATAATGCATTACAATATTGCGTTACTCCCAAAAAAAGTAATGTCTAGGTTACACATGGTAACCCTCGTTCCCTGAAGGAGGGAACGGAGACGCCACGTCCGAGACCAACGAATATGAATCTCGCTAGAGAGGCCAATCTACTTTGAGTGAAACTAAACGAGCCAATGCACATTGGCGTGCAATTATTTGCATCAGCTGTTCAGCCACACACCGCGGGTATAAAATGTGCAGCAGGTGCGATTGCACTTCAGTTTTTTGCTGAGGAGCCAGGCCGATAAGCTGGCTGCCCCGCAGCAGCAGATGTGGCGACGGGACGTGGCGTCTCCGTTCCCTCCTTCAGTAGGTTAAATTATGGTAACGAGGGTTACCATAATGTAACCTAGACGTTCCTCTTCAGTTGGTCAGTCGTCGCCACGTCGAGACTGACGAATAGGAATCCCTACCAAAGGGTCACAGCTGCTGACCCCATCTAGCGCCCTGTGCAAGCCTCTTGCCCCTTCTTGCCTGAAAGGACAAAAGGAGAGGGCTTACACAGAGTATATCTGTCACTGTTGTTCCGTGATAACCCATACAGTAAGATTCTTGGATAAACACTGGGAAAGCGTACCCTTTCTGTTAGGAAGGAGAACGCTGCGGAACCCAAATTCTTCCCCGAAGGAGTTATGTAGAGATATATATATAGACTAACCCGAAGGTTGTACTACCCGAATGAAATACTGGGTGACTTAGCCCAAGGGAAAGACACAGTCTTCCGTTTAGGAGCAGCCGTGGAAGAAATACACATATGGGATCCCCACAGGGTCACACATATGGGACCTAGCCCAGCCCCGTTTTCAAGGATTCGAAAATGCGTTTCTGCTTGAGCATTTTGAACGGTAGCTTGTGGAGACTCCGATTCAAAACTCGCAGGTCCAAGACCGGTCGTAACCCACCGCCTTTCTTGGGTACAATGAGGTAGGGACTGTGAAGTAGGGGCTCTATCGTGTCCTTCACCAGTAGGACTGCGATCTACACTCGCAAGACATGGGCATCGGCTGCTCTCACTATAGTGGAGTGGATGGTCCGAAACTTGGGGGGACACCGGGCGAACTGAATCGCATAGCCGAGCCTGATGGTCCGAATGAGCCGGCGAGACGGACTGGGGAGCGCTAGCCAGGTTCGCAGAGACCGTACAAGCAGGACCAAAGGGACCATAGGTGTACCCGCATTGGGGCGGCGAGATCGAACATAGGGACGCAGCCTGTGAGGCTCTATATGGGAGGCGGCCCGTAGCGGGGTCTGAGTGTGCTGTGCAACACTTAACTGGTTCCAAGGGGCAGGAGGCGCAGGAGGAGGCTTGGTTGCATTTTCTAACTGCACGCTGCTGCCTGCTGGCGATAGAAGAGGCGGATGAGAGTGGTGAGGATTCAAACCCCCCCCCCCCCCCACTGCTCTCCGGGCCGTCTTCAGACCCAGAGATGGTTATTGAAAATTTGGGTACCGCTGGTTTTGACGCCAGCAGCGGAACAAAAACAAAAGGAAACACAGGATTTACCACCCAGCCCTCTTCCGGGGGAGGGATTGGTGCGGTCACCATCTCCCAAAGAGCAGTCCTATTCATCTCCGGGTCGCCCGTCCTAGGGCCGCTTACCCCTGGCTTTGCTGCCCCTCTTGGCGGGGGCCTGGACGGGCGGGGCGGCCTGCCTGCGACTGGCTCCTCGGCACTGTTTAGGTGGAGGCTGCTGCTGCAGCGCGGGACCAAGGGCAGACGCAGGAGGACGCCCCCGGCGACGAGCAGACTGAGGGGCCACAGGCGATGGGATGAAGGCAGCAGATAACCACCGCGGCAGGATGTGTTTAATCACCTCAGTCTGCTTTTGTACAGCCGAGAACTGCTGGGCGAAGTTCTCGACCGCGTCGCCGAAGAGGCCGGTCTGGGTCACGGGGGAGTAAAGGAACCTGACTTTGTCGGTCTCCCTCATGTCAGCCAGACACAGCCAGAGATGGAATTACTGGACCACCATAGTGGACATCGCACGACCCACCAACCGCGCGGTCACCTTCGTCGCACGAAGCACGAAGTCCGTCGCAGCAGTTCTTGGAGAACTTGGGGATCATGACCACCCTCATGCAGATCCTTCAGTGCCTTGGCCTGATGGACTTTTCTTCCACCTGTGAATAATTCGTCAATGGAGACGTTCTGTCGGTTGGTAGAACAAGATGTTCTAGAGTTTTTAGTAAAATTGTCATGTATTGGAGAGATTAATGCAACCGATGTTTTGTGCTCTATGGATGTGTCCAGTTTGTATACCAATATTCCATGCATGATGCAGGTTTGGTGGCCTTAGGGCACTACCTAGAAAAAAATCAAATACCACATACTGAGTTTTTATTGACACTGGCGAAGGAAGTCCAAACAAAAAATTACTTCATGTTTCAAAAAAGTTTTTACTTACAAACTCAAGGTACTGTCATGGGTTCTCCCATGGCACCTAATTATGCTAATCTTTTTATGGATAAATTTGAACAGGATTTCGTTTATAATGATAATCCTTTTAAACAATATTTGAAAGTGTGGTATAGATACATAGATGATGTATTTATGGTTAGGTTCAAAATAACAATTAATGGCTTTTTACAGTTACAGTATGTAAATACTAGATTGCCCTCCATCAAATTTAC